ATAGTAAAGTTGGGCTTTGATGGTAACATTCTGATGGTAATTGCGTTCTGATGGTAAACGCAGTCTGATGGTTAGTATAATACTGGTAAATGTCTTTGATGGTAGCTTCTTTAAGGGCGAAGCAAGGGCATCAGCAGCGGGGCGGCCCAAGGGCCAAGATTCCACCTCCCCCGTAAACTTTCAGCGCTGAGCACGATGGTGGTGTCAGAATTGTCCTGTCTTTAGCCGTTCTCCTAGAAATCACGGGGTGAAAAGGGTAATTTTGTTTTTATGCAAGCAAACGATTAAGTATGTGATCCTCTCACACCACACATAGTATCTGGTTTGCGAGCAGCTTCGATTTAATGATGGTGGAAAATGTATTGGTGATCACTAGTACTTTGTTTTGTCAAAGAGCTGCTTTAGGATCCATACTAGGTCATCCTGGAGTCCAGGACCATATTTGGCAGTTTCACTGCATTTAATGTCGATTTAGTCAATACCTTTACATAATCTCGATCTCTCGCAATAGGCATTTCAGCTGGTCAAGAATTTGACGTCTACTCAACTTTTTCACTTATCCTACTTAAAAACTACTGCCGAGTGTGTTGCTGGTCGGTTTCTTATTTATTGGTTTTATTTGATCCTAATTAGGTGCACATGCTTATTTCGGATCAGGCAATAATTCAAAGACCCCGTGGACTGTGCACCAAAATCTTGATTGCTTCCACAGCCGACTACTGTCAGGCTACAAGATAGCAAAATCACCATCTTGATACAAAGCTGATTCGAAATAGGTTCATATGTCCCTATTCCGGATCAAAATCAAGCCTGTACTGAAACATACTCAAAGCGGCAGTTACTAGCGACACACTAAATCTTTAAAATGTGTGGTCGGAGAGATTTGCCTTCGGTAAGCAGCAGAGGCACCAGACCTTCACCGCTCTGCTCAGAGTGTTTTACATAGGAGTGTACATTTTTTTTTTTTTTGATGGCTGCAACTGCACATTTTTGAACCATATGGTACAAAATTTTGTAATTGGGATACAAAATTTGTAATGCGTACATGAAAAAAATTGTAACATCCCATATTACAAATTTGTATATCGAGCTAACGAAAAATAATACGAGGAATACGACAACCTGTAACAATGTTACAAAAATTTCTAACAATTATAAAAACCTGCAACAGTTACGAAAATTTTCATTCGTATTGTTGAAGTTTGGACGTCAGTTACAATTTTCTGAAACAATTACAATGTTGTCACAACGTTACAAATTTTTGAATCTGCATCCAAGGTTGCAAAATTTTGTTTTAATCTAGAAAAACAGAAGCGACCGAAGGAAAAGGAAAAGGAAATAGTGACTTTAAGTGTCATCTAACGATATCAAACAGAAAAATCCGTTGATTCTTAAGTTTAGATTTTTGACGTTTGTCGCTGTTTTGAGGCCAAACCTCTTAATGTGAGCCGGATTGTAGACACATAATGCTTCATCTCGGGAATTCTATGTTGAAAGGTATCACTGTGGCTGCTGATCCCAGAATCAGCATTTGTGCTGAGCGCACTAGTGGTGCATGCTGCCCACGAATACACGTACCCACCCAACTGGAGTGTCACCTCATACGGTGCAACGCGACTAGTCACGGCAGTCACTATGTTCATCGACTCAGTAGTGTCAGCCGTGGCGATGTTGCAGTGGGGCTGGAAGCGAAGCAGTGCTGGACTCCGTGACCTGCTAGACACACCTGAGATCCGAGCAGACGCGGCGCGGTGAGCACCTTTAATTTTAAGGATTTCAACTTTCGCTGTAGTTCGCCTTGAATGCTTTATTCCAATAATGTAACATGCAGTATTGTTCACAATCTCTTTCTCATGCAGGCGTTCATTTCGTGTACTGATTCTTGCACTGATTCATGGGTCCGTTGCCATCATAGCCTTCCCAACCTTCTCTAGGGCGGCAGACGCTGCCCACTCGAAACTGTCAGCATACCTTGTGGTCGGCAGCTTGGTAGACGACGTCCTCGGCAGCCTGCAGATTGAGATCTTCAGTGCACTCGTCAATATCCTCCACGACAGGTTATGAAACTTTGTTGGCTGAGCAACTGAAAAGCCTAATACCACAGTGATTCAGAGCAAATCTCCTCCGCAAGTTTAAATTGAATAGTGGACTCGTCAACGGAATCAGCTGTTGTCCACTTTGATGCGCCGAGATAAAAATATCTTGCAATACGGGTTAAAACTTGAAATATGGTATGACACATTCTGGAGTATGAAGTTAATCGTTCCTGGTAAATGCGAAAATCGTGCGCCACCCCGCCGGTACGCTGTACACATCTCTAAATTTAATGGAAAAGTCTGACAAAACGTTAATTTTTGGGATGAAGAGAGTGTCGGAACAGTCAGATGTACTGTCGTATGAGCTGTGAGGGTGTGCTATGTACTTCAGTACTCTGGCTGAGTGCAGCTAAGATGGGAGTGGAAGGATAATGATAGAACACAAGATTTCAAGTTCTTTGAGCCGACCACAAAGTACTCACTCCTTAAGCGATGTTGTCCGGCTAGTGTGCGAGGCATGTCTAACGTGTCGGGCCTGAGCAAGCCCTTGTGAACCTGTCACGGTGGCCGCGAATGCTAGTCAAGGGCGCTATTCCAGTAGGCGCTCAGCGTGACGCTAGTTCCTCCTTGTGAGCGCGAGAATTTCACGGCAGAAACGTCAGTTTGGATTTCAAGCTGAGAATACCTGTAAGGTGATTCCGCACAGTAGCACCAGGCCCCTTCGCCAGGCCAGGGCGAGGGGCAGGTCCCGTACGTCCCGCGCCCGCTTTCAACGACCCTCTCTCCTGCTGTCCTGACCGAACACTGGTTATTCTTTTTCTTTTATCCACTTCCACACAACATTGACAGCGCTACTGTCGTGTCGAGTCGGACATGTACAAGGGCGCCCTCTGGCGGTGAGACGGTACACTGCCCTGCCAATAGACGGTGGCGTTAAAAGCAGCAGCGTTGCTTTTAATTCACCTATTTGCAGTTTGTTGATCTTTATATTTTTGTGATTACTGCGGGAGAAGCATTGCTATGGGTAAGAGATTAGTTATGTTGCCTTTATGAGATTTTAATGAAAGAGAAGTATAGATTTGAAAGAGCAACAAGTCAGTAATCGTCAACTCAGATATCTACGACTATTTTGAGGGTGTAGTGGCCGGAGAAACACACAATGTGGTGGCAGAGCACCGCAGGATGCTGAACGCTCAAATTCATGCTCGTTTTCAATTGCGCGACGCCCGCGACCCATTTAATGTCATTGTGGATGAATTCATAAAATTGTATCGCATGCCTCAACACGAGGTTATTAGGCTGTGCAATATTCTGCTGGAATTCGCCCCTCGCCGCTCCAGTCCACTGGCTACCCACATTCATTACCAAGGTATAGGAGGATATTTTATTGTGCCTACATCACAAAGTGTCCTCTAAGTAACGAAATACTTTAACTTCTGCTATACAGTTGTTGGCGGCTCTAATTTTTTTCGGAGGTGGAAGCTCCCAAAGAAAAGTGGGTGAATCTGCTAACAGCAATTTATGCCAAACCTCCATTAGTAGGTATATCAACGAAGTTACAGATACACTCAACGACCCTGAGATCCTTCGTAGGTTTATTACCTTTTCTCTCACACATAAAGAGAGGCTAAAAGTCATGCGAGTCAATGAAGAAATTCTTGGCATGCCCAGAGTATTGGGCTAACGTTGATGGAACACGTATTAGGATTGTTCCTCCTCCAAGGCAGCTTAACCCACAGATGTATTATTGCCGTAAGGGATTCCCTTCAATTAATGCACAAATCGTGAGTAAAATAAAATAAGCATAGACAACAGTATTTTGCCTTCTGTTTCCATCTGTATTCTGTATTTATATAGATCTGTATATTGTTGCAGATTTGTGATGCTACACTAACTATCCGAAATGTATGTGCAGCTTTTCCTGGATCCAGCAACGATTTTTTTGTGTGGAGTGGAACAGTTGCCAAAGATGTGATGGTACAGGCATACTTTGAAGACGGATGTTGGCTTTTAGGTATGGTGAAGAGACTCATTACCTGTAGCAGATATGTGAATATTCACAAATTTGTGTTTTGTGTTTTGACACTCTATACTTTTCAGGTGATTCGGGTTACTTTCTGGCTCCATGGCTTCATGTTCCGATTCCGCATGCTGCTCCAGGGACTCCAGAGTTTGATTACACACAAATACATTGTTCAGCACGCAATTGTGTGGAGAGGTGCATCGGCGTGTTGAAGGCAAGATGGAGGTGCTTGTGTTCTGACAGAGCTCTCACATATCGGCCAACTTTTTCTGGTCAAATTATTAATGCTTGTTGTGCACTTCACAACTATTGCCTGTTCCGTGGTCTACTAAACCCAAGGCCCTACATACAACGTGTGCCAGTTGTGCTGCCGGATTACAATGATCTACCACGAGGGCTGCTAGCTAGAGCTGCTGCTGAGCAGCGTCATCTTATTTACTATGCTCATGCCAGAAAGCAACGTTTGAGGCAGCAGCAGCTATTGGAGTAGTATTTTCTTGGTATTACTCCATTACTACTACTACTACTACTACGACTACTACTACTACTATTGTTATTCCGTTTATTTTTTAATGCTAAGGTCAGTACATGAACATTTGCTTCTGCTGCTGTTTGAAACAAGCTCGCAGACCACGAATCAAAGCTTTGAATTTGGAAATCTTTATATTCATCAGTTTGTGGAAAGCTTACCAACAATAATGTTATGTCAAGATGGGGTCCACATTGCTCAAAATATTTAAATGTTATTATTGCAGTCTCATAGAAGCAGTGGATTGTTATTTAAATTATGTAGTTATTATGATCTGTTATCTGATATTTCTAAGGTGATACAGCCTTGATTTGATGGAGCCTGGCAATATATTAAGTTTCACTGAGCAACAAACCAAAGGTATTATTTACTATGTTTTTAAAAGTTAATCATGTTAAATTTGACTTAAAAAGACTTTGTTAGGGATATGTGTGTATGTGTAAGTTCCATCACCAAATCCATTTCTTAGCAACCAAACTATTTCCTCTACAAAATGTGATCTATCCGTTGGTAGTTTTGTTTCGAGATTAAGGTCTTTCCAAGAGTGGGGAGCAATTTTGTGATGATCCAAGTGTCTACAAATATTAAATTACCCCCTTGCCGAACCTTCTTGAAGGCTGCTTTAATTGAAACTTTGTTGGAAACCAATTAAAATACATTCTTTGCTGCTATGTGAGCTACACATAAAGTAATGAAAAAAACTGAGTTATTTTATTGTGTTTCTTTGTGTGACAAAACACACGAAGAGTGTCAGTTAGAAATTTAGTCAGGAATTTGTCTCCAAAAATTGAAATCGAGCTCCAGTGGTTTTGTTTAATTGATCCGTCAAATCCAGCTACATGTGCTGCAAATGTGCCATATTCTTTTTGCAGGATTTCAACAGTGTCTGTGTTAAATTCTGTGCAATCTTCTCAGGAAACTTTCAACCATAATAATTCATGAAACAGAGGCATTCCCGAACATTTTGGTTTTATTTACACTCTTGCCATAGTTGGCCCTCAAAATTCACAGCATATCTAGTTTCCCACTGTTAGTTAATCACTCTAATCAAATAAGTTATCTGCTTGTTGTGCTAAGTTGTAGAGGGAAAATTTGGAAGAATGTACTTGCTGTATAGATTGATGATTAGGGTCATCGGTTTAAAGGGCTCACTTGGTCTTATTTTGTGCTAAAATATTAGTGGATATTAAAAGCGATAAAAAGCCTATAAATGGCATCTGAGAAATGTTTGTCTCCTTTTGTGGCCATACCTATCAGTCTGAGTCAATTTTACAATTCGGTGTAACAGTTAAATGTAACAGCCAACACTTTGATAAATTATGTTCTGAGAACAAATGGTAAGGGAATGTGCTCGACAAAGGAAACATTTGGCTTGAATAGGAACACTTTAATGAAAATGAGCTTTTCTTTAAAAGCAACTCGAGCGCCAATATATAAATACTGTTCAGGATTCTACTGAAAAATAACTTTCCGATGGTATACTTGAGTGACTCCAGGGCGAGGAGTCAGTCAAGTAAACAATTACCGAAAAGTTGTGTCTGGAAATGAGAGTGCCGAGGAGCATAGTGACGCAGAGCAACTTGTTGCTTAAAATGCAAACGCAGATGAGCAAGCTGAGTCAAGCTCAGCCATTTCTGTGAGTAGGGCTTTCTATGGTTACCTCTGCAAGTAGAATTTCAATATGAAATTATGATACTAAAATACCCATACATTTTGGGAAACTTCTAGTGAAAGCAGTGAAAGCGGTCCCCAAAGTGCTGCATCCACTTCGGACCCTATTCACTTTAAATTTGGAGATGAAATTATTCCGTCACCATCACTTGATCCTTCAGTTATATCTCTTGATATTAGTTTTGATAGCACGCCGTGGGAGCTGGTGTGATAGGTCTATCTGGAGTAGAGACCCACAACGAGTGAGCTACGCGAGCAAGGCGCTAGAGCCGCGCGCTGCGAGCTATTTTGCTCGTGGCTTCTGTGCGCGTCGGCGATGCGACGGCGAACAGGGGAACCTGCATGCTGCAGCAATGGGCCGGGTCTGCAAACAAATTTGCTCGCACGAGCAGCGCGAGCAGCGCTAGGGGGCCTCCGAAAAGCAATGCTGTCTCCGCCAAGGAGGCGTGCGGCCCTACGAACAAAATAGCTCGCAGCACGCGGCTCCAGGGCGTTGCTCGCGTAGCTCACTCGTTGCGGGTCCCTAATCTGGAGCCTCTGGCAGCCTGTCCGGATGTTTGCCATCTGCCATTCTTTGCACCACTTCCTCCCAGTCTCTCGTCGTTATGTCGATCGCCTTCGATGCCTGCTGACGCTATTTCTTGAAGTACCTGAAAGCCACATTAAGTTAATTAGCAGGTCTAACCCTGTCCACTTCTCTAAAGAACTGCTCTATTTTCTCCTCCGCATGTCTCCTGGATGCTCTTCTATCTGCCAGCGTGGCCTCTTGCAGCAGCTCCTCGGCAAACGAATCGCCAGGTTCTCTCCTCGTGAGAGTGTAGGCGTGTCGTTGCCTATTCGCTGCCTCCCTTATTCGCCTGGGGGTCATAGGTGACTCTTGTACCCGGAGCTGATCATTCGCTGCCGTCTCCATTGCCTCGGCCACCTGCTTCCATGACAAGTTACCAAACCAGGCGTCAGTTGTTCTAACGCATGCGTCAGTGTCAGTGCCTTTTAAAAAAATATACCCCAAAAATGGCTTGAATCGACCAATATCTCGCAAACTAAAAGAGCTACGTACGTACAAAGGGATGAAATTTTCCCCTTGAGATCATAAAATGGCGTGTTTACTAAGGGGGCGAACTTGGTTTTCAATTTTTATACTTTCCGATTTTGTTTGTATTATGTGAATTTCCGAAATTGTAATTGTGTTGCGGGGATAGTAAATATTGTCCGATCGAGTTGCGATTTTTTGCATTGTGTTCTACGTCCCAAATGTCTACTTTTCCGCACCCCGCCGAATCCGCGCGGAAGAAAACCCTGTTTTCAAAACACCCTAGTGAACATGTCAAATTTTGGGGCCGGCAGGCCCTATTTCCGTCTTTACTCCTATTAAGTCGTCTCGGGTGTCATAACCGCAGGCCTAGCTATATGTGTGCCAGGCGCGTCGCAGCCTAACAGTGTTTCGTGAGACAACGCGAAGCCTGTTACGCGAGACGAGGTCTGGCGCACATATAGCCAGGTAGTCCCCGACAAATGCTGTCAGTATGTCAAATTTTGGTGCTGGAAGGCCCTGTTTCCGTATACCCTCCCATTTACTCGCCTCGGGTGTCAGCGCCGCAAGCCTATCTATATGTGCGCCATGCACGTCGCAGCGTAACAGTGTTTCGTGATATATCGTGGAGCCTGTTACGCGTTCTGGCGTACATATATCTAGTTTTTAAGTCGCCTCGCTGGCCCTCTGTTTACTAAACTTCCTCGCTCAGAAGCTCGCCGAAATGGCTTCATCTTCTGATTCGGCTTTATGCAAGACCGGTTCACCAGTAGCAGGTGAGCCTAGTGCCTCCCTTCTCACTTCCTACCTCCTGTGTCTACCTTATTCTTACCACCTGCCTTGTTGTTCAGTTGGTGAACTAACGATGAACACCCTGAGTGGTCGGATGCCCGCGTATGCATGCCACAGCAAAAAAATTCTTTTCACTTCTTAAAAACTACACGCCGCGTTGATTCTAGACTAAAGGTGTACACGGTATGAAAGGTTTCTTGTATACAACAAGTATACTTCAAGACTCGGTCCTGGTTGGCATTGTTACTCTCCATAAGATCCAAGACAGAGTCTTGAAATACTTTTTTTTTTTACCGCGTATTGAAAGCACAGATGGACGCTAATTTTGCCATTGGTGCTGGTGCGCGCACAAAAACGTGCCCATCTTCGCCTTCCACTGGACTATGCAGCCCTTTACCATGTGCACGATTGTGCTGCAACGGATCGGTCTGCACCTGTCAAAAACATTGCTTGTCACTTTTAAAAGATGACGCTAGTTGTTGACCTAGGGGTTTGGAGACTTCGGGGACCTTAAACTAGAGGTCCCTCATGAACCAAGATATCACGCAAGAAGACGCATCACTATAACATTCGATACAACACACAGGCTACCACATTACTTTAAGCGTGGGTTCGTTTCGCAGTTAACAAGAACTGTTAACGTTTTTTAAATCGACATATATTTGATTGCTGGCGAAATCTTGCAGATGATAGTACTCTTTTTACTCTAATGTTGAACCCTAGAAATTTCTTTCCGGGCATTTCTTTTGTGCTGCTGTACTGTAAGGGCGCTATAACCCAGGTAGCAAGCAAAAAAATAATAAAAATGTACTTTTCATAGGTTTAAGATGCTTAATATGCATCTCGAACAGAGCATACGGTCACCAAAAGCACTTAGTGCACAGTTTCATCTTTATCAACGAGCCGTTTTGGCTAACAAAGGTACGGTACCCATTGGCTGAGCGATAGCGAAGCCCATAACTTCACTGACCGAAAAAGCTCCTTTCTGTCTGTGTGTTTGCTTGTATCTATGCACGATAGCTCGAAAATGAATTGAGATAGCGATCTGGGAATTTTAGGTTCGTTTTGTATGACATATCGAGTTCGAAGATGAGCTTTCTAGCTCAAAAACTGACTTTAAAAAAAATCAAAAACCATACAGGTCGCAAAATGTATTTTTCTTATCGAATATTTATTTATGAGTTTTTATGGGGTACTCGTACAAGTAGAAACCTGAGAACGAAAATTTCGTCTGTTTTGCTCTATCCGCGTGGGTGCTAAAGATCATTTCTTGATGAAAATAAGGTGAAAATAACCAAATGGTCTTTTAAATCATAGAAAAGGCTTCATATCGAAAAATGTATAGGAGGTTGTACTTCAACCAAACATTTGGCGTCAAACTAAACCATCCTTTGTGGTCGAGGTGGCCTAGATTATCCACTGTCACTAAAACGTTAATTTTCACATAACAATCTGTCAAAATCAGAACTTTTAATGAATATCCTTATTGAATATCAGAAGTTTCAATTCCCTTATTTTAGAGTAATAAGTCCCCTACAAATGCTGTCAGCATGGCAAATTTGGGGGCCGAAAGAGGGCCAATATCTGTAAACACTCCTGTGAACTTGTCGCGGTCGTCATCGCCGCAGGCCTAGCTATATGTGCGCCTTACGCTTCGCAGCGTAACAGTGTTTCGTGAGCTATCGCGAAGCTTGTTACGCGAGACGTGGTCTGGAGTACATATA